CCCGGGGCTCTCCCGAGCTCGTTACGAAGCCATGCGGAGGGGAGTTTCGCTGTCCCAAAGGTGCGGCTGGGCGCTCTCCTAGGAGGAAGTGACCGCCTGCTTCCTGGCAGCCTCCAGTATCGGTCGTGTGCGGCTGGCCTGGCTGGAACCTGGGAGCAGGGCGCGGGCACGGAGAGGTCGATCCCCCTTTGACCTGTCGCAGTCGCCCGCCTCAGGCTTTGCTGCTGGCTCAGCCTGTTTGGGGATCGGGGGAGCCGCAGTGCTTCCTCACCCCTGAGTACGAGCCTTTGGGGAACGGGAGCTCACCTCCGTGTCCAGGGGCGGCCTCCAGCAAGCAGAGTTATTTCTGCCAAGCTTTGCGGGTTGCCTGACAGCTTCGGGCCTCCAGTCGGAAATAAAATTATCGTTTTGCTTCTTGGATGCCTGGGTCTTGGCTGGTGATCTGGCTTTAAGTACCGAAGTTCGGTTTTTCACAGAGAACGAGTGAAAGAAGCAAAAAAGTGTGGAGGGATGCTTGTCTGTTGTCTTGCTTGACAGCCATATTCCTGGGTGATGCTCTAACCAAACCTTGGCTTCACTGCGAAGCCATAGCCTGAGGTAGCCTACTAGGTTAGTAGTGTCCAGATTTGTTCTTCCCTGCCAGGATAAGAAGGATAGCAGCCTGCAGCGGAGTAATGCAGTCCAAGTTTAGGAACCAGCCTTCATTTTTACAACTTTTCTGTTTTCTTGGAGGAGGTTAATATGAAACATCAGACATGCAGAGACATCCGACTGTCCTCCAGTGGGAACAGTGGGTTTTTCAATCTCCTTAGAAAATAAGGAACTTACCTTTCAATTCTGACTCTTTTGCAGAACAGAGGTAATGAGAAAGGATCCCCTCCATAAAAAGATTTTGTTTCTGTAACTGAAAAGCACGTAGTGATTTTGAGTGTTTTACTCTTGCCAGAGAGATCCTGTTGTAGGAAACCCATGGAAAATGTTCTGTTCCCAAGTCAGAATTCATATGGGGTTTCATTTGATTGACCCTGAGATCAATGTTCTGCCAGTTTTGAGAGTTCAAAGTTTTGATTGGTTTCTTGTGATTTTCTGAATTAAGATTCCATGAGTCAACTATTTCGCAATGAAAACTGAAACAAGATGTGTCGAACTACAATGCTTTTAAATAAGAGCAACTGTACCTGTCTGCAGCCTGGACCTTGCTTTGCTACAGCATTGTAAAAACTTGTTTTTCCTAGAGGTTTGCACAGCTGCTGGTATTTCAATGTTTAAGCCAGCCTTGGATTCAGGGTTTGCCCTGGTCCTCTCTATGTTTGTGTGGTATTTTTAAGGCAAATTACTTCGCTCTGCCTGTGCTTTCAGTTGGTGACCAAGAGTCCACTTCAAACCAGAAACTGAGCGAGTACTGCATTGACAATACCCTACTGCAGAATTACTTGCTGAGGCAGCGTTGCACCTCTGCAGCATGTTTTCCACCATGTGGAAACTGTGTGAACTTGTATTTGCCTGGAACGTAGTGTGGAGGTCCAGCCTAAGAGGACATTGAATGATGCTTGACAAAGAATGATGCTTGCAGCTGTGATCCAGATGTTAGTATATAGTATTAGCAACTTGTTCCCTTGCTCTCATCCTGAAAACTTGTAGTAGAGAGAAATGTGTTGGTTAATGGAGACCTGTTCAGTTGGTACCTTCCAAGTCTCCCCATTTCCTTCCTGCCTTTCCTGCTGTCATCCTTCCCAGTTAAGAAGCAACTGGCACAACACTGCAATCACTGCCCTGTTCTCTGGCATGTATTCAGACAGGGCATCCCACACTTGCTCTGCACTGTTTGTATTCCCTTATCAAAGGCAACTGGTGATAACTTCGCTATTGTTAATGACAAGCACAACTTACTGTATTATCAAAGTTTAAATAAGATAGAGATGTCTCTGGAGTATGCCTAAAATAAAGCATAGATTATGAGAAGCTTTGTAAAACCCTCCTCAGTGTGTGCAGCTTCTTAGATAGAAAATGATGTGGAGGTTGTTAGGAAGAGTTCTAAGATACATAACAATAGCTTCATTAAAAAGAAAAAAAAGGGTAATTGAGGTGTGCTGTTCTGAAGTTGTGATAAACAGATTAAGTTTAACTACAGTGCTACAGGATGAAAGCTGTATTGTCTCAATCTTGGTCACCACTAGGTAATGTTCTGATGACTGTTTTAGTGAGACCTTGATAAAATTAACTTGGTGTTTATATGAACAGGTGGTGCTGCAGAATTTTTCTGGATAGGATTAAAAGCCAAGGCAGTCCCATCCTGTGTGCTTCTGGGCCAAACAAATTATCTCCCTCAGCTTGGAGGGACAGTTTTCTCCATGTAGAAAAAGAATGATTTGCTGCATAATGGCTACTCATAGTTGCTTTGGAGAATTCAGCCCATAGGGCAGGCCAAAGAAGCTGCCCTCAAGGAAAGATGGGACTCGCATTCTAACCAGGGTTTGTAACCCTTAATATCTTCACCAGAGGGGCTGGAAGGTCTGTAGGTGCAGGTCCTGGATGAGGCTGAGAGAGATGTGCTTCTATCACTTGGTGTGATGTGAGGTCTGAGTCTGTGGGCTGATGGCCTTCTCTGTTCTTGTTTGCAGGTTGCCTCTCCCTCCAGGTGACAGTGCAGGATACTGAGCGTTACACCACCTTATTTGCCAGTGTCATCCTCAGGTGTGACTACAGCACCTCGGCTCAGCTGCAGGACGTGGTGGTGACCTGGCGCTTCAAATCCTTCTGCAAGGACCCCATCTTTGACTACTACTCAGCCTGTAAGTGTTAAGCTTGTCCTCCAAGGAATCCCTCTTCCAGTGGAAAGGAAGGGGAAGGTGGACTTAGTTGGTAATACAGGCTTTGATGCCTTTCTACTCACGAACCGGGTGGTGGTGTTTCCTAGCACTCCAAGGAAAAATAAGTCATGTCTGTGATTTGCTTTGAAACATCAAGGGCTTATGATACGAGATTGTAGAGATTCCAGCCAAAGCACTTAATTTGTCCTCCTTGTCATCAATTCAGAAGGCAGAGCAGCTCAGCCACGTTTGACATAAGTCAATCTTGGCAGCCCCATTTTATGCTTCAGCTTGTTTGAAAGCAAGGGCCCTGAAACAAGTTGACTTTATGATTCCATGGGGGACCCCATGGTTGGAGATAGATACCTGTGACAAGATGTTACTGATCTTAGAAAGTAGAAGAAACACATGCATTTTGGAGGGTAGAAAGACTTCTAAGTAATAACATTTAATACTGGTGAGAGTACTTCATGTGCAGACACTCTGGTGTGGGCAGCCTTAATTCAGGAGTGTTTAATATGGTATGCAAACTGCATTCCAGAGTGCACCAAACACAGTATTACCAGCTGGCCAAAAGATGTGATGATCCCACTATATTTAACGTTGGAGTGGTTTCACCTTGAGTATTGTGTGCAGTTCTGTGTCCCAGAATTTAAGAATATTAAGGTACTTGAATGCAACCAGGGGAGGACAACAAAGCTGGTGAAAGGGCTGGAATGCATGTCCTGTGAGGAGTGGCTGAGGACTTTGGGCTTATCTGGTTCAGAACAAAGGAGGCTGAGGGGTGACCTCATTGCTCTCTACAGCTTCTTGAGGAGGCAAAATGCTGTCTCTTCTCCCTGGTATCCAGTGATGGGATGTGTAGGAATGGTCCAAAGCTACAGCAGGAGAAATTCAGACTGGACTCCAGGGAGCACTTCTTTAATGAGAGGGTGGGTGAGCACTGGAATAGGCTTCCTGGAGAGGTGGTCAATGCCCTAAGCCCTTCAATGTTTAAAAGGCATTTTGACAGTGCCCTTAATAATATATTTTAAGTTTTGCTAAACCCTGAAGTGATCAGACAGTTGGACTAGATGACCTTTGTAGGTCCCTTACAAATGAACTATTCTATTCTATTCTATTCTGTATAAACCCTACAGTGTGTTTAAGAGGCCTCAGCTTAACTGTACACTTAGGACTGAGCTCAGAGTGGGTGTCTTAGTGCCCAAACTCTCCTTTATGCAGCCTGGGTGGGTTAGGTAGGCATATTAACAAGTGCTCTACAGCCTAGTGCACAAGCAGGCAGGTCCCTGGCTCAGCTGATCCCAGCATAACACAAGTGCTTTTAGCCCAGGCTCAAGCTAATAGGCGCAAACAGTGACAAAAAGCATGAAGGTCATGGTGTCTGCTTAGCTGGGTCTGGTATTCATGCTCTGTGGTAAGTACAGCAGTGGAAGAGACTTTGACAAGCTTTGTTCTCTCCTCTCTTCATTGCAAGCCCTTTGCAGGCAATGCTGACTGAATCAGTTGTCTCCCCAACTCTCAGCTCCCAAACACCTGGCAATTCAATGTTTATATTGTGAGTCTGTCACAGGAGTATTGCACAGAAATTGCCTCTAGTCCTCCATTAATTCTCTTGGATGTCTTTAACTTAATCCTTAGCTGGAAACAGATGATGGATTATATCCTGTCTTTATAAGATGCACAAAATCTAATGGGATGCAGGCGGGAATGGCAGACAATCCCTTTCCTGTATGTCTGGAGGTTTTGTTTGGTAAATAAACACACTTCTGTTTTAGTTCCAGTACTCCTTGGTGTTTTATGATTTTTTCCATCCAGTTTATCTTCATACTGGGAACTGCCCTCCAGCCTACCACCATTAGGCTCTTTCTGTTGCTGTTCTTTCAGTTGTGAGTACAGGAGGGATCTCCTCCACATCTTCTGCATTCTCAAAATCCCTGCCATTCCTCTGGCTCTACCTCTGTTTGTTTTTGAGTACTCCAAAGTGACTTGTCCTTGCCGGTTTGAAGCCATGCTTTGTATTATTAAACTAAAGCAAATGCACACACGCACTCAAGAGTTTCTCTACTGCTCACAAGGGAATAGAAATCGGTCCTTTGAAATGACTTTTGGCATCTTATTTGCTGCTGTATGTTTGTAGCATACCAGGCTGGTTTAGCCCTTGGCCAGGACCCATCTAACGACTGCAACGACAGCCAGCGCAAGGTGCGCATTGTCATCCAGAAGTACGGGCAGAAGGACCCCATGCTGGGCATCGACTACCAGCAACGGAAGATCACCATTCAGAACAGTAAGTGACTCGACCTCCCAGGCAGGCACTGAACTCAGTAACTATAAAATAAATATCTGGGTCTGCTAAGTGAAGAGAGGTATAAACATTGCTAGTGTAGTCTGTAGCTTACACATTCCGGGAGGTGGCGGTGGAATAAGAGCTGTGAAGGGCCCTGTCCCCGGTTGGCCTGAGGATGTTGGAGGCACTACGAGCTAAGGCTGAGCTGGGGATGCCTGAGCGTTTTGCTGAAGAGCACAAAAGCTGAGGAGCCCAGAGGCTAGAAAACAGTTCATTCTTCTAAGAAACACTGTGTAATTGTCCAGGTGTATTATATGCTCCCTGCTGTTCCCAAAGCAATAACTGTTGCTCCTGCTAGATGAGCTATTGGGATGGCTGGCCTAAGAGGGACAGTGAAGTGTGTTCCAAAACCAGTAGAGCTGGCAGTTGGCAGCAGCTGGTGTCTGTTAACATTCAGCAGCATGCTGGTTGTTTCACTCCACACAGAACTAGTACCACTTCTAAGTAGTGTTGCCTTCTAGCAACACAGAAGAAAGGGACTGGCAGTGCATATTGTCTGTAGGAATTCTCAGTGGACTCAAATGTGATTGTTGGAAGGTGATTGCTATGCTTGGGAAGAGGGAGATGCAGTACTCTATGTTGCCTGCAGGCAGAGGTTTTGAGTGGGGCCTGAAAATAGTGTCAGTCCCAAATAGCCCACTGACCTCTCAGTCCCTCTCCTGCAGAAGCAGACCTTGTCATCACTGAGGTCATGTGGTGGGACCACGGCGTGTACTACTGCTCTGTGGAAGCACCAGGAGATACATCAGGTGATGCGGACAAAGAAGTGAAGCTGATTGTTCTCCGTAAGTGCCTGTGGTTCGTTGCCCGAGTGGCAAGATATCTCCTCCTTTTCTCTTCTTCCCCACTCCAAGACATCTCCAGCAGTGGAGGGGTGCTCAGTAACTTACCACAGCCAGATACATCAGGATCAATCCTTTTTCTCTCTCTTTTTTTCCCATAGATTGGCTTACGGTGCTCCTCATCATTCTCGGTGGCCTCCTTCTCCTTCTGGTGATTGGAATATGCTGGTGCCAGTGCTGCCCCCAGTATTGCTGCTGCCACATCCAGTGTGGCTGCTGTCCAACCCGGTGCTGCTGTAACCAGGAAGGTGAGGTTCAAGCAAATGTGCATCCATTTATGGCTTTTGTCAATACGAAAGCTTGACTAGGAGCTTGCTGAGCTCCCCTTTCTCCCTTATGCTCAGCATCCATATAAAATGAAACATTTCTGTGGCCAATGTGACCTCTGGGACCAGCTTATCTGAGTTTAGAGGAGGGGAGCTGAGATACATAGAACCCACCTTGCTTTTCTGTGTCCAAATTTCAGAGGTTCCTCCTCACTCAGACCTTACCAGCATCTCTCATGTCATCCAGCTCCCTTGTATGAGTAGCTCAGGACTTTTCTTCTCTGTCTTGTGGTTCATTTGCCTGTGCATGTGAGGAACGCAAGCAAATGCCTTTGTACTACTGTCCAAACTAGCCTAACCTTCAAGTATGTTGCTCCAAGAGGAATTATGTAAAAATTGGCATTTTCTATCTTCATGTTTTTTTCAAAGCTGCTCCCTCCACAAGAAGAAGGTTTTATTTGTTTTTCTTGGGGGAAAGAAGTGAGAAAAAAGAGGAGAAAGATGGTCTCTCTTGGTGCTCAACTGTAGAAGTGCATTTTTGAGGGTCAAAAGAAACTTTGTTGTGTTTGTTTTTAGCAGAAATAAAGTTTCTGCAGACAGATACAGTTTTTTTAATAAGGCTGCTGTCTGAATTGTGGCTGCTAAAGTCACATAACCTCTGCAGCCCTGTAAATGAAACTTAGTTAGCCACATGGTGGACTAGCCTCTCTGCAGCTTACACAGTCTGACAGGAACAAAATACAACGAATAAGTTTATTTATCATTGAAATCACCAGATTCTTACCCAGATGCTACAAGGAGACGATTTATGAACAAGGAGCTGGGTTCCAGGTTTCCCTTTACCTTCAGAAGAGCTATTTGGTATCAGTTGGGTGTAAGCTGTAAGAGTTTTAGGCTTAAGCCTGATTTGCTTAGCCCTTGCAAAGAGAGAACAGAACATCCCTCTTACTGCTAAAAACAAAACAAAACACTTTTGGGGGGCTTTACAGGTTGTCAAGTGAAGTGCGTAGTGTTGAGGAGGCTGTAGAAATATGGCAGAAAAATTAGTTTCCGCGAAGGGAGAGAGAGGTGGTGGAGATGAAAGACTCACACCTCCAGAATTCCTAGTTCTCAACGAAAAAGGGATTCAGATTTGTGTGAGCTCCTTTCTGTTTTTCTGTGCAGTAGATTATAGCTCACTCCAGACTGCTGCTGTTATTTCCTGCCTCCTGTTGAGGAGGAGGAATTCTTGCAGGGTTCCCAAAACCTCTCCCTGTTCATGAGAGAAGGTACAGACAAGACCAGCCTCCTTGACTGGCTGCTGGGTTCTGTGGCTGTAATTTCCATCCCAGCTGCCTGCCCTCTTTATCCGCTTTGCAAAGGATCCCTGTGCCTGCTCCCCTCCTCTAACACACCTTCACTTCATCCTGCCTCTGACTTACTTTTTTTTCACTCCAAGAAATTAACTGGAGGCCTTAAAAAACACAAGAAGATAGATTCAGGGAACATCTTAAAAACAGTCCTGAGGAATAACAGTTCCATACAGCTGAAGAGAAGGCAGAAATCCTCATCTCCTTTACGATTACAGTGTGAGCCAATTTCTTCCCAATTGTTGGCCACTAGAGGACAGCCTAGATCTACTGAACAATCACAGGTGCTATGAGGAAACGTAATCCTGCGGCTGTGAATCACGGCACTAAGTACCGTGGTTTTGAACCTAGCAATAAAAGAAGTACATTGTTTGCGTAATTCAGGATTGGTGTACAGAAATATTAAACATGCCCCAGGAGCAAGCCAATTACGTTCCCAATGGAAAGCTCTGCAAAAAGCCCATCAGGGTAAATATATGTATGACCTCCTTCTGTTCCCATTAGTTCGTTTTCTACTGTGGACTTCTTCTAATAATGAATTGGTATAAAATAGGATATACTTGCACCTGGGTCTGACTAGGTTTAAAGATATTTTTTTTTATAATTGAATAATTGGCCCAGCAGCTGTAAGGTCTGTCAAAGGTGAAGAACAACCTTTCTCAGCATGGAATAAATGAAGGGAACAACACAACATTCTGCCAAAGTTTTACAGCAGGTATGAGTTTTGGAATTCGGGTGAATCTGACCTTTTTTAAATAAATATGTTCACTTTAAAAATATCTATAACTTTACTTCCATTTTGGAGGTGGGGAACCAGAATATATGTCAGATTCAAACTAGAAAGCAAGGTATCTGGGGAAGGAAGAAAGGCCAAAAGTAGTGAAGGAAGTCCAGGGGTAATTCTGCATTTGTTCAGATGTAGGAAGAGATCAGAGAATTACAGGGACATGATGACCTTGGTCCTAGTGACTGCCTTCATACCTTAAGGGGGAGAACCCTAAGTAAGTATGCCCACAGCTGCTGGACCTCTGCTCCTCAGGCAAAGACCATGATCAAAACCGAGGGATGTGCAGTCAGCAGGTTCCAGGACATTCTCAAGGTGGTAACTGCAGGAATAAGAGAGGGAGAGATGAGGCCTTTCTCTTCTTTTTATCCTTCATCTTCTTTCTCTTTCTTCAAGTTTGAAACCTAAACTGGAGGGAAATCTCTTGGGACAAAAAAAAAAAAGAAAAGAAAGTGAATCAAGTTTGACATAAAGTGCTTGAAAGCTGCTTCCTCAGGCCACAGAGCTTTGAAGATATATTGGAGTATGAGGATTAAAACCCCTGAAGTTTCCAGCTTTACAGTTCTCTCTGGTTGGAGCCAAACTGAGGAGGGAGTCTGAAATGGAGAATGAAGTGGAGCTGCATGACCTGTGGGGAAAGGGTAGGATGAGTTGAGGCATGGTCAGTCCTTGTTTTGCTGCAAGTGGTGCTCTGTATAAATTCAGTGAAACAGCTAAAGGAGGACATGTTTAATAACTGGAGTGCTACCTGAAATGGAAAGCTCAGTCCCAGAGAACATGCAGTCTAAATGCTGCCTGATACAATGAACCCCGGGGGACAGAATTAATTGGAGCTTAGCTGTAGCCTGGTTTCTTAAAGAAGCAAATCTTTTGCAGTCAACTTGTCTGTCTATCCCCTATCTCTCTCCCTCCAATAGCTTTTAATTTCATCAGCCAACTTCAGCCAGATTTATCAGAGGAGCAACAGTCTCAAAGGCAATTATATTCCTATCTGTTTCCTGAACTGTATAGCCAGGAATGTTCTGTTCATGCCTGACCAGAGATGAGGTTGCAGTAAAAGCCTATCACTTCTGAAACTTCAGGGAAGCCATATGAGAGAAATTTTGCAAAGGCCCTGTTGCAGAAAAGCTTTACTCAGTAATGACAAACAAACTAGGCTTTGTAAAGTCTGGGACTTGCAGAATTTGCTTGCTTGTAAACCTAAGTTTTGAGGCAGAAATAGTAAGTTTCTGTTAGATGTTTTTAGGTATTCCCCCAAAGAAGCAGTGACGAGCTATGATTTTGAAGGCAAGAATGGTTAGGTTGTCTATGTAGAGGAGGTGAGATGGAAATGCTGAAAAAAGTGAATGGAGCCTGACCCCACGAATAGGGTTCTGGAGATGGCGGCGGAAACCCAGTGAGGAAGAGACATTTCCGACGAGTTTGCTCTTTCAGTGCACTAGACATTGCTGTTGAAAACTGGAAATTTAGTTTGTTCACCAGTTTGATCACACTGTCCTAAGGGATTTAGTTTTAGCAATCATGCTGAGGTAAATTACAGAGAGAGACTAGAAAGGGAGAAGCTGGACAGTGCACCTCTGAGTGCCCTATATGTGGAACAGAGAGGAAATAATGGAGTATAGAGTGGAAAATATGATCTGGGCAGAACACACATGAAAGTGGCAAAGAAAGATCTTGTTTAGCTGTAAATCAAAACTAAAAGGGGAAAGGACCAATGATGAGCTGAAAAAGTTTTGAGAGAGAGAAAACTGTGTTATGTCTTACTGTATGAAACATTATTTCACACCTTTCCACAACTATACTCATAATGACAGAGCAGGTAGAAGTCTTACACCTGGTAGTGCTGCATACTTAATCAGAGTGTTATTTGTTCCAATTTTCTGGGACTGGACTCTGAATATTAGGCAGTAACCCTTCTGTTTTAGGTATCTTTTTGAAGATATACAACTTCATATTGGAATTTCCCGTGTTCTGTTTTAACTTTGTCATAGGGTGGAGAGAGATTTTCATTTTGTGAATTTCCTGTATCCAAAGACTACAGCCTAACAAGCAAAATGGTATGTGATCTGCAAGCTGTGCTCTCTGGATAGCTGCAGTAAGCTTTCTTCTTCTTTTACAGTACTGGAACGGCATCGGTTCATAAAGCGGGCTCAGGCACTTGCACCTTGGATATCACCCAACATGTTCTACGGAGGTGGTGACAGGAACTCAAAACTTTCCTCTTACCAGCTGAACCCTCTACTGCAACGAGGTAAGACCATGGGCATCATTTCAGAGGGAAATCAGGACAAGAACCAGGTAACTTCTTAGGGAAGTTCAGCTTTGAGGCTTTAGCCTCTGTACTACAAAAGAGAGATGTTTCTAGCATGGTTGCGTGTCTGAGCGTAACAGCTCTGCTACATCTACAGCATACTGTAGACTTGCCTGGGTGGATAAATACAGCCTGTTCATCTTAAGTGTCTTGCTGGGCTCAGTGCTGGGTGAAGTAGTTTAGTGCTAACTAAAGTATATCTGTGCTACACCCCAGCAACTGCAGGGTAAATATACCCAGCTTATCTTGCTTTGTGTGGCACAGGAGGGTACTGTCTCTTTGTTCTGCTGTGCTGGTCACGGTCAACTCCTTATAGCCAAAACTGACATGACAAGTGAGGTGCAATTTGTTTGAGTTCTTATCAAATCTCTAGTCTTAAATGATTAAGGGCAAACTGCCTTCTGTGAAATAGATCTACCCTGCATGCAGCAAAAAATGAAAGACTCTTTAATGAACCAGGATTTTAAATGTTGTTCTGCCCCAAAATCACTTGTATAGTGGAATTTATTTGTAACTTAAATGGAGGAGGGAAGTCTCTGAAGTCCTGGAGAAATAATTAAATAAAATAACTTACTACCAGAAATATTGTTTAATCGCTCAAGGAAAACAGAGGAATTCAACATAATGACTTCTCAAAAGTATATAACATATTTTTATCTGAAATTAGCTTTTTGTCACTGTGCTGTAGTCACAGATTTAATCTGTGTCTGATGAGTTTTACCTGTTGTTTCAAGAAACTGTTTGCAAACATCTTAAATGCTAGATTCAAGATGTTTGAGTATATACTTCTTCAGCCCACTAGTTAAATCTACAGTTACCATTTTTCCTAACCAGGGCACCAGTTTCCTTAGAAAGGTCCAGTGACTGAGTCTCTATGATTTAATACACAACACACTGAGTCTTCTTAAGGAAAGGCAGCTACTAGTTACTACTCTCTGCATCTTACCTTGTTTGGTCTGGATGTGCTGGTTGTGGTGCTTGAGAACCATGCAGCTCTTGCAGTGAGGAGCAGGAGGAGGAGAGAAGGGACTCAGCCAGGCTCATGAGTGCAGAAGGGCCCTCTCTTCATTTCCTCTTGACTTGCTGTGTTCTCCTGTTCTTTTATCCTTAGATGTTTCTCTGCAGAACAGTCTTCCACTAGTACAGCCACAAGCCCAGCTTTCCCATAACAACGGTGTTTTGGACTATCTGGAGTCTGAAATCCAAAACCTCAACATGTCACAGCTCCGGCCACCCTCCCACCAGCGGCAGGCTGTGCAGCCCAGCCTGCTGTCCTCCCTGGGCTCCGACATCATGCCACCTCCTCTCGCTGATCACATGTCCTCCATCCATGGGAGCAGCAACTCCTCACGGCCGCAAAGAGCCACCCGCACCCCCCGACCCTGGGACTCTGCAGCAGAGGACAGAAGGGAAAACCGGAGGTGGCCCGTGCCTTCCAGTGGGGATTCTCATTCCAGCCACAGTCAGGACATGTGGGAGAGGCAGCGAGAGGATCATCCTCAGAGGCAGAGGACAGGTGGCTACAATGGCAGGCCACAGTACTCCAGACGGGATGTGTCGCCCGCATGCCAAGCTGAGAGGGGCAAGAACAGCAGCAGCAGCAATTTCTATCCAGAGGAGGCCAAGGAGCGCTCCAGGCACCATCGTGGCGGGAGACAGGAGCCCGCAGGGAGGCGAGAATACGAGAACCACACTGGGAGGAGCAATAACTCAGGCCAGCGGCAGCACAGCTACTCCCCCCCTTCTAGCAGGGGGTCATGGAGCTCCTCAGAGGATCAGGTCCATGTCCCAGCGACAAACCGCAGGTGGAGGAACCGGTCTCGGGAATGGCCAGAAGATAAACCCCCCAGTTATCGCTCCTTAGAAATCATCCCGAGTCAGGACAAGAAGCACAAAGGCAGAGCAGGGACACGCTCGGTGAGTCAGCTACCTTTTTGCTTTCCCACCTAAGGAAAAATTGGGTTTTGGGGAATGAGAGTAAATGCTTTGTACTTTCTATAGCCTGTCGTCTTGCAAACAGAGGCCAAGGAGAAGGGGGTGCTCTGTGGAGCCTGGTTGTGAAGAGGTTGCTGAGTTCTCTGCCTTGAGACATGTGTTGCAGGGCTGTAGAAGTAGGTCCCCTACAGGGTGATATGTTATACCCTCTCACTTTTGGGGTTCTATGCATGTGTTGGTTTTAAAATAGCTGTTCTCTGGCCCTGACTGGAGAGAAAGCACCTCCAGACTAGGCAGCAGTACTGAGTACCTCTCTGCAACCATCTCTGGAGTTGGTTTACTTCTGATTTTTTTTACGATGTGCATGATTCTCCTATTATCCATCCTTAACATTTAATTTTTATTGTATCTTGGTGATATTTTTAAGATGATTCATATCCATCCAGGTAAGATGCCTAAAGTTACATGAAATAGGCTTTCAGGTAGCATGAATGAGAAATGTGTCATTCTCCAAGCCAGGTGGAAGAATATGACTCTCTTCTTGGGACTCCTGAGAACTGAACATGCATTATATGGGCAGTAAACAGCTATTGTTTACAGCTCATCTTGTCTGGACTGGGACTGGATTTTAGGTGGCAACCTAAATGTGAAAAACTTCATATCCAAATGCTAGTCTCCAAGTTAGACAGTGTATTTCCCCTTAAAAAAATGAAGATTCTTTTAAATAAAAAAATGTTGAGTGCCCCTTATCACATATATGCAGAGTTTTAACAGGTGGAAATCTTCTGAAGGGACTGTATTTTGCACATTTTCACTTCTGTGTTTTGGAAGGAAACACAACTCAAGTTCCAGCTGGGATGTGTGTATGTATGAGTGGTTTTTGCTATGGTGTTCAGAGCAGGTAGAAAGACATATGATTTCTATTCATCACTCCTTGTTCCTGAATCTTTTCTTTTCTCTTGCAGGACGGAGCAAGTTCCCACAGTGGAAAAAGCATAATCATTTAATGTCAGTACTGAAAGAACTACGATTCCCACTGGACTCCTCTTAGTTTTTTTACTATATGGCTTGGGATGGCTGCTTTTGATTGAACAGACAACAAGCAATAAACCAGCAATAAAACAGATAAAGCAGCTTCTCCTTAGATTTGCAACTCTGAAGAATCTATGACTCGTGCCCATGGAAGCCATACATAACCCATTTTTATTCTTGCCGCGATTGGAAACAGGTTTGCAGTGGGCTGTAGTTCATTGCTATTGGAAACAGCAGATTTTTTTCAGTAAATAGTGTACTGCTAATCTGGAAAGACAGATACCAATTCTCTTTGTTAAGTGCACTGCAAGGAGCCCAGTCTGTAGAATGCTGGTCCTTTGCACACCAGTTACCAGAGAAAGGCTCCAATGTTCACAGAGTTGTAAAGTCACAAGACAGTAGAATAATTTCGATTAGAAAGGGCCTCTGGAGATCATCTGATCCGGTCCCCTGGGAGTCTGGTGTGGGGAGGCACAGCATCTTCTTTCTAAGGCCCTTTGTTGTGCTTCAGAATGTGTAATGTTTGTTGCTTCTGCCTGGCTGCTCAGCACAGTTGGGCCAGTTGCTTCCTTTTGTCCCCACTAAGCCTCTCTCCCAAACAGGAGGATCACGGTGTTGGAAGGATGTTCACTGCCTTAAGATCTCACTAACAGGTCTGCAAATTTCCGGGTTATCCACCCTTTACTGACTGAAACAATCTGGCCTTCTTTAAGCTTAGACCTTAGTGCCTTAAAAGATACTTGTTCTAGCCTTTCATCGAGACTTGAATTTATTTGTAACTTAAAGGGCTAAATTTACCAAGGTTTGGCCTTCTCTTCAGGGACTGAGTAAAGTGTAACTGCTGTCCCTTGCACCATGGACAGAATTTCCCTCAACTCGAGGAAGCACAGTTTTGGTGAATATATCTTTCCTAAGCCAGGTACTCTTTTCCATGCATTTTATATTCTCCATTTGCTCTCTATGCCATGTATCATATACATGGGGTGGTATAAAGGGCTCTGAAGAACTGTAACAGTCACCATTTTTAATATTGTCCATGATCTTTACCCTGGCGCTTACACAGTGCTGCATGTGTGGTGCATCTGATCTATAGCTAGATTGTAGGGTTCCCTCATCTCTCACCTTACAATTAGAACACAGAATTTCTGTGTGCTCTGTTGTGAAGGAGAAAACCTTAGCATTTCTCCTTGATGTGATTAATCCACTGTTTTAATTTAAAATGTGCCGGAGAAAGAAAAGCCCTCTGGATGCTGGCTGCTTCCACGGGAAACTGGCTTGCCAGAGGCACTTCTTGGATTTAAGAGACTCAACGGTTGTCAAGGAACTTTTGGAGAATCTTATGAATTATTTCGTAACCCAGAGGCAATGGAGATTGGCCAGTACCAATGACTGTCTTGCCTGGTTCATTTCCCAGCCGGTGCCGCATGGGACACTTGCTACTGTTTGTTCTTTAATGTCCTAATTACTGATGTGCTTATGCTTTCCCTTGGAAGACTGTCTTGGAGAGACTTTCATTTTGCCCACCTCCTTGTTTTTCTTTTCTTTGGACAATGATGGGAGGCATCACACTTCATACAAATGGTCCTAGTTGGATATCCGATGCAGTTGCTGGTTGACCAAAGGCTACTACAGAGAGTGCTCATCTTCCTACAGTTTCTTGGCTGAAAGTGCTTATTCCTAATTTCTGCCTCTGGAGATAAAGCAGAAGGACCAGCTAGCTTCTCTAGTTGACCTTGTTTCAGAACCAGAGGCCTACTTTTTGAAGACAGAGGGTCTATTTGACAGCAGTTGTTGGCTATCGAAAAAAAAGTTCTAAAAGACTAACTCCAAAGTTTGAATTTAAGAAAGGAGGGCTATATTAAGCGTAATACTTGTCTGCATTAGACTCAAACTGAACAATGTGAATAGAACCACAAGTCACATTTGAAATATAGGGAATTAAGCATGTTTGCAGAACTTGCAAAGCCAATATCACTCTTGAATCTGTTCCTCAGCCACTGGCTGTGAATCATTTTTATTTTTATTTTATAACCTGCTGAGGATTTTATGAACCCTCTCTTCTAAGATGGACTAGTATTTTTATTAGTTAAGAGGAGTTTATGACGACTGCAATGACAGAAAATAATATGAGGCACCTTCTTCCAAAACTACCATCGAGTTCTGACTTTAGCTTTGCCCTCTGGTGACTTTTAGCAGATAGCCAGGACCCTGCGGATTCTACCCGTGGAAGCTGAATTAGTAACTTGGAATTTGATTCTCTCCTTGTGCTTTGTAGTTTCATGCAACATAGAGGACAGCTTTTTCCTGTCATTCCAACCAAGCCCAAATGTCCAGGTTTCAGGGAAGGGCTGCCCCTTTCTCCATCAAAGAGTAGAGGCTATTTGAGAAATGAGGGGAGATCCCAATATGGTAGCATGGAAAGAGTTCATTTTCATTGACATTCAAGTGTGTATAAGCCAACATGTGTCCAGCAAGTTTTCTCAAGAGCAAGAACTCCCTCACACTGCAAGAAAACCCTCTTCAGTCACTTTGTTCTTGTTTATAGAAACATTAATCAAAACTCTTCAGGGAAAACAGATTGTATCTGAGTGTTAATTCTGTAACTTCTTAAATTGCGACAGAAGTAGACTAAGTTATCCAGCAGGGAAGCAGAAATGATACCAGGTTTACTGGTCCACAGACCACTGCGGTTCATAAAACACCAGTTGGTGGTGGGCTGTGAAATAACGACAGAGGAAATCTATATATGCATACTTTTCAACTGCAAGCAGACAGAAAAGTGGGAAGGAAATAGACTCTGCTCTAGATGCTTATTTCTAGTTTTAATTGGCTATAAATGAAACCCATTGTGACAGCATTGCACAATGCAATGTGAACCCTTTTTTCCAGTAAGATTACAGTGTCTTTGACTTTTGAAAAGAGACTGAGAACTAAGCGGCTCCAATACAGCACACTGAAAGAAATAGCAGTAGGGAATCACCTAGCCTCATTCTTTCTATATTGCAATTTATTGATGCTTAATTTTTCAGCCATTCCAAAGAGCTGATGTTCATATGTCAGCCCATTCGTGATGGAAAAAGTTGAATGTTTCACATATGGGAGTTATTGCTATTCTAGGGTTTTGTTCTTCTTGTCATGCAGTTGAAGGAATATATCTTACTCCCCAAAAACGAATCTTCTGTCTCGAATAAAGTGCCTTCATAGCCACTGGAGTTACCCTAATTTAAGATAATGTGACCATGCCACATAGAGAGGGCCAGATAAGGACACCCATGCTGCTGTCAGCTGCTTTCCACCTCAGACCATAGATTCATAAGAGAGATAAAAAATCATGTAATATTTCTTTGATTAAGAAAGGACCTGCAATATCTGGGTTTCTTGCTTATTTGCAGAGCGCCCTGCCATTCCGGAATGCCATTCCAGGAATGGAGGGCAAGGGCTGCTTCTGTGCAATCATTGATCTGGTCTTGGCAAGTGCCTGCTTGGCAGTAGAAAGTGCTGAAATGCCCAGTTGCTATCTCTGCGATTGTATTCATGATAGCACTAGCTAAAGTTAGGCTAACTAAGCTGGGGAAGTTACCTTGTGTGAGACAACCCCAAAGCAAAGTCTTCAGCAGTAGGTATTACCACACAGGGCAGCTAAGTCCCTCTGTGCCACTATCTATCTCCAGCAGCACATCAGTTAAAAACACTGATGTGAGAGCCTTCCATTTGTTGACCTGACATAGGAGAGGGATGACACTTGAGGTTATATTAAATTAACCCCCACAAGTAAGGACTGCTCATTCCTATTTCTGCTAAGTTTAATGCCTATAATGTGCCTTGTTACGGTCTTCTGAATGTTACCCCAGCTGTAAAAGCAGATTATAAATGTGTAGATCCTCTTCAATGAATGTCACATGTCTAACTGAAATATAAGAGAACTTTCAACCAGTTGCTCTTGTGTGTACTTCCTAGACTATAAATTGCTTTTTAGTGTTTGCACCAGAAGTAGAACTGAAAATTCTGTGTTCTTATTTCTGGAATTAGCCTTGTTACCCATTAGTAAGAATCTGCTGTTGTTGTTTGTTGGACAAAAATGCAAAATTACTTGCTTCAATGGGGGATTTTTTTTTTCTTATTTCGGAGACTTTTTTTCTTTGTTTTTCTGAGGAAGATCATTTGAATAAATACCAAGAGAGGGGAAAAATATATGGGAAACCATTGACAGCCCTCTTTAATGATGTGACCCACTCTAGCCATCACTGACTGGCTGCCATGCCTGTAAAATGAGAACAGTTACTGTTTGATTCTAAAGCAGTTGAAGCACCATGAGAAGAAAAGTCTTCTAAAAATTTTGTTTGGTTGATAAATGAAGGTACTGGTTGAGCTTTTCACACTTCCCACGTGTGACAGTCACCTAATAAATAAGTGGCCAACATGCAAATGGAGGTCTGTTGGGGCTCACATGGTAGGTTTAATTTATGTCCTCCCATTTCCCTTAGCTCATGACCTTGGTAGCTCAGTGTTGCAGCCTTTCTGTGTCTTCCCTCTTCTGCTCAGTGGTCCCATGTGCTCAACTCAGATGGCTGGCCCGACTGAAGACCCAGCGGGCACTTGGAATCTGACCTATGGGAAACATGCCCTACAGCAGCAATGCCACCACTTTCTGACTGGGACCAGGGATCTTTGGAAGACATTATAGAATCAGAATAGTTTGCATTGGAAGGGATCTTACAAGGTCACCTCATCCATTCTACCCCTGCAACCAGACCAGGTTGCTTAAAGCCCTATCCAACCTGGCCTTGAATGTTTCTGGTGATAAATAGGGTGTCCACAACTTCTCTGGACAACCCGTTCCAGTGTCTCACCACCCTCACAGTAAAGAATTCTTCCTTGCATCCAATCTAACTGTCCTATTTCAGTTTAAACCTGTTTCCCTTCCTCCTGTCACTACAAGCGTTGGTAAAGCCTATTTCTTATAAGCACCCTTTAAGTATTGAAAAGCTATAATAAGATCTCCCTGGAGTCTTCTCTCTAGGCTGAACAGACCCAATTCTTTCAGCCTTTCCCCATGGGAGAGGTGTTTCAGCCCTCTGATAAGTTTTTGTGCCCATCTGGGCACGCTCTAACAGGTCTGTGTCTTGCCAGCCTGTGCAAAAAGACTTGACCATGGGGAAAGAAGAAATGTGAGAGGGGTGCACACTTACCCCTGTGCACCATTTGGTTAATGCTTTTACTGTAAATGAAGGGGGAAATGCCAATGGCCATAACAGCTGCAAGTAAGTTCCAACTATCAGAGCAGGGAGGTTATGGCACAGGCCTTCCCAAAAATTCAGCCCAGGTCTAGCTACTGTTAATGTGGAATTTGGTCAACTTATGAGAGCGGTCTCTATGACACAGATGCCTGCGAAAGTAGGGGACTCAGTGACCCAGGAGCTGCCTTCCACATCCCTTAGGCTCAGGTCAGACTGACCCTCCATTACCAAATCTCAATAACAGGTCCAGAGTCCTCCACAGCTTCTTACCTCTCCCACTGAGCTGGATGTGCTTGCAAAAGAGCAAATGGGGAAACAGAGCAGGACCTTTGACCCCTCGCTATCATTATATTCGGTCCATAAATGCCGGTGTCTCAGATGAGCATCTACCTCAGCTTCAGCCTGAGAAAGAGAGAGGGCAGGACAGGTAAGTGCTGAACTCTCTGTTCTGGGTGGGATGGGCATTGTGACTGGTGTGTCTAGATCAAAGGGAAGTGAGTGAAGATGATCTTCTATTTTTCCCCATTTCTTATTGCAAGCCAATTAAGAAATTGGCTTCTCACACTCCGCAGGCAGGAATACTGATGAAATGGGGGAAGGTGGGGGTGCTTGAGGTGACCTGGCTTGAAGTTGAGTGATGGATGCTCCATAAGACGCTCATAGGAGGGTCAAGCCCATGGTACGAATTGCAGAGCTTCAGTGTTGGAAGATACATAAGCTTTTCCCAGCTGCCTTCATCACAGGGACTACAGGCTCTAAACTGGATAAGAGCACCTCTTTATGCTCTTGGGAAGCAAATTTACGCCTTTTGTGTACATGGAGAAAAACTGGCTCTGGGATTAAAAATCAAGGTAGGGTGGTAAAGGAGCAACTGCTCCTGGGCAACAAATGTCTAGGAAATGGAATGGTAGCTTTTGGAGGCAATCTCTGCACAGAAGGATGTAAAAATGGATGGAAATTTCCTTACTGTGGGATGAGAAGGAGCATTGACTTGTAGCCACCTGGTATGGGATTTAGCAAAGCATTCACATGTAATAGACTTGTAGCCTTTTTTGCTGTTGCAATTCTAAAACTTCAATGTTTTCTTCATGTCATTCTGAGTGATGCAGCCCTATAGTTGAGGGCATAAATCAATATTAATTTCTAAACACGTTTTTAAGCACAGAATGTTTGAAAAGCTTGTTTAGATGTAATGTATTTTCAATGTACCAAGTACTGAATTTTCAATTCTCCAATTCTGACTTTTTTAACAGACAAAAATAAAGGAAGTCAGATGAAGCTAAATTTTGCACTCACTCCCTTTTGAGAACTTGTTCTACTTGGGCTACTATCTGCTGCATTAATCCCAGAGTGAAAAAGACAAGTGAACCTAGTTGGCTGGTTGGCAACTTTCCTCAGCTAAAGCAAGGCAAAATACTCAGATCACTGGGTCACTGAGATGATCACTGTATGTGATGCACACATGCACACTAGTGCAATGTTCTTTAGAGCAATTTAATAAAACAAGTAAAGAAATCCCACATTATGAATTTGTACTTATTCGTAGAGGAAACCTATTCTTACTTCTGGCAGTTTTAGTTGTTTGTTCATGTGCTGAAATAAGGGATTTTGGCTCTCATATAAAAGACCTAGCTTTACTGTCACATATTTCTTTGAGCTCTGAAAGTTATTATTGTGAATATTTGTGATTATACAAATAAAAGAACACCTGCATTTTTATACTATTTTTTCCTCACTTCTTCGGAGTAAATGCACCGTGGTCTTTCCTGTTCTTGTCTTCATTTATTGGTTAGCTTTGTTGCAGAAATCTGGTGTTTAACCAGCATGTTTTATTTCTCTGAAAACAAACAAACATTGTATGCTGATTCCTGCAGGTCTCTCAGTATAGGGAGCAGAACTGGTACTGCAAACCATGTTGCAATCCAGGGTATTGGTGATAGCTCTGATTCTGCTCCTCAGCACCGCTCTGCCTGGTAAGTCTGAAAAGCTTTTCTGTCTGCCTGGGACAAGGCTCAGCTCTACAGGTTCTCACTGGACTTCAGCCCAGCAATACAGTTGAAGACCATGAATACATAAGTGCTCAGCAGTGTGAAACAAGTCAGTAGAGATCTGGCATGAAAATTGTCCATACATGGCAAACACTCTGCCATGTAAGGCCTGTGGCATTCACCACGAAGAGGTGAAGAGGTGCTGCTGGATGCTGCTAGAGCGAATTCAGGGAGAGGTTCTGAATCTCAGAATTTCAAGAATCTTCCCACTGCACCTGGGGGAAAATATGAGAGACATGAGTGACTGGAAAAGCCTGATGGGGTTTTGCCTCCTTTTTTTCAGAAGTGCACTCAAAGTCCGTCTTTGAGAGAGACCGTCGTGACTGGCTGGTCGTCCCTGATGCAGTTGCATCTTATGTCTATGAAGCTGTGAACAAGGTGTCCCCTAGAGCGGGTCAGTTCTTGGTTGATGCTGCCCAGACTCCAGCAGTTGTTGCAACTAGGTATGGAAAGCTCCTCTGTGCTAACGCTGCAATAGCCATGTGTGAAAAGGGAGAGGGAGGAGTGGGAGGAAGAACAGATTAATCAAGTATCTATATGGGGAGACCCAATGGGAAATGAATCAGCAACCAAAGCCTGATGTGACTACCATGGGAGTGAGGTGCTGGGAGGTGGGGTGAGATGATATGGTCTTCTGTGAAAGCACAGGCTCTTCCCTGGGATGCACATTGTACGTGACCATGCTTGTGAGGACAGCAGGTTCTGCTCTTTATTCTTGGGTAGTGAGGGAGGAGGCCTCTGGCTGGTGGGGGATCAGCTCCCCTGGAAGGGTTCTCTGGTGCTGCTGTCTGTGAGGGGCTCAGTACTAACTGTGCCATTGTCACTTGATGCAAATCACAGAATTGGCTCTAGCTATGCATACATATTCCTCAAGGAAGGGGAATGAGTTTCCTCACAAAAGGAAAATCATGATCACCCTAGAGACAGAGTTTCATGTAACTCATGGCACACACATGCTGCTTATTGAGGAAAGCCTCTCTAAGACTGCTGAGGAGCTCTGCACTCAGTGACAGGCAGCATGATATCCACAGCAGATGGAGATTACCCTCATGTATTTGTGTATCTTATTACATGCACTGTCATCTCCTGCAGGAACTTCCTCATCAGAGAAACAACTAAACTCAGTATAATGGCTGAACAGCTGATTGAAAAAATAAAGAACCTGTGGACAAGAGTCCGAGGCTATTAGCCAGAAGAAGACAAGTCAGTGTCTCCTGATGTGAATTGGTAACACCCTGCAGTGTCCTCTTTCCTCCTGCTCGTACGGGCCAAGATCAGTCGATAAGACAGAATCAATGCTCCTCTTAGTGCCACTAGAGGGAACCCACCTTCAAAGACCAAAAGATGGAAGGCATCTGCTGAAGCCTCCCCCAGAAAAAAAAGAACACGCAGCTGGGCATAGGGAAGACAATGAGATTGTAGAGCTCTTCTGTAGCCAAATCTTGAAAATTAATTCCTCCTGAAAGGCTTGGCCATTGCCCCTCCAATAAAATAGTGTTGGTTGTTACACTTCCTTAAGTTTCTTATTTGTATTGACTATTACAAAATCACACTCACCTTGGCATTCCATTCTGCTGAGAAGGTAGCTGTTATTCACAAGAAGTTGTTTCAGGCAATGCTAACAAACCCTGACTGTTCAGGCACTTTTAACTAAGCTCAGATTCTTCTTGAGTAGAGGGGGCACTACCTGAGCATTTTTCAGGGTAGCCACAATATGTCAACTGTAATCTCACGTAAGGAAAGACCATGAAATTTAAGTCCTACTGATTGTGCTTCTTGGTTAGGTAAGAAGCAAGTAGGTGCACCTGTATCAAACGTATTAAGATTTCAGATAATTTGGGAAAACAAGTGCTAGTAAACCAAACTGTCCATCAACCTGAGCAGGACTTCAGAAGTGTGTTTCATCAGCTTATTCAGTGAGACTACCGAATAAGCTTTTCCAAAGGAGAAACAAGGGGAAAATGTCTCACTATCTTGACCAGTTTATGAGAAGGGCACCTTTGCCCAGCACTGTCTATGAAGACCTGGCAGGTCCTCATCAGCCCTATGTAACCACATCGTTTCAG